AGCGCAATATAAACACCCGCTGCCGACGGACAGACTGTTGTAGTATGTATTGATGCTGTGCTTTACCATAATAACAGCCCAGGTACTAGCTAAAAGGCGCAGATACGTGTTTCGCCTGCATTCTGCCGTTGCTTGACACCACTGCGAGGGGTTCGACACATCACTTGGTATGTTGGTAAGTTACAGCATGAATATGTACTACTACAGTCTGCCGTTGGCAGTATGTGCATATTACGTGGTGGCTGATGGGTTTCGGCCCAAATATACACATAAAATTTCGGTTTTTGCGTATAGACCTTAAATATACTGAAGCATACCGCGAACAGAAATTAAATTCTAAGGAAATTTAAAATCTGAAACTTAAAAACCGATATATCATCCACAAAACAAACAAGGAAAGCTGGGGGACCCACTGATAAGCCGCACCCCCCACAGTTATGTCAAGCAGCGGCAGAATACCTGCAAAACACGTGTCTGTGCCTTTAAGATAGTACCTGGGCCGTTAGTATGGTAAGTTACAACATCAATAATCTTAATCGATGGTCGAACTGTCGTGCAAGTGCGTGTTTCTGGAGGCAGGTGCTGATGAATATGTGTGACATGCACTTGAAACAGATCTCTCCCAAATATTTCTTTTCTTCTTACGTCTACTTCTTTTCGGTCATTTCAAAAATCCAAATTAATTCCATGAATTGGCACTAAATTTGGCTTCAAGTTGAAAGAAATATGCCGAATTACAAGATTCGCAATTGCATTTATGATGTTCTTATGCTGCCACGTTAGTTTGTTTACGCTTATGAGTTGATCATTAACTATTTCAGCGCCCAATAATAATAATCGCTCAGCACCTTTAGGTTTATAACCAATACCAAGGCACCTGAAAAGACCAAATAGGTAGTAGGAAACCGTGGACCCACACACATTTTCATCGCATACGGCTATTTCCTAAAAGTTTGCATATGAAAATTAGCTGTTCCATTGGAATCAGCAGCAATTGCCAAATAGCTGCCTCTTTCTGAAAGGGTTTAATCTAGGGAGGAATTAAAAAGAGGAAAGTAATTTTAACTTATTGTATATATAAACAGTTGATGCTATTATAGCATGATTCCTACCTCAGCCTACCCTTAAAAATATCCTCACGAAAGTGTTTATACTGAAATGTTGCCTCACGATATCCTCTCTCACATGGTCTCTTAGTGGAGGAAGAATCTTGGCGCAATTCCGATGGGCCGGTGATGTTCACAAACAAGAATGTTCGTGGACAGAATTTGCCGATGTCGAGGTGCACAGAAAAGGGTTGGCAGTCTGTTCAATCAGGGCGAAAGGGAAATTAATTCTTTCACAATTGTGAATTGAATGGAAAGATCCACTTGAATTTTTGAGCTCTGTGAATGTTTAGAGCTTATTTATCTTTGAGGCAGCAGAATGTCACTGGAAGACGTGACAAAGCTTACTGGTATATTTCCATATCTCAAGTTTGCAAAAGTCAAAGATTCCGAGATTAGAATTATAAATCATATTTTGCTTACCGGAATGAGTTTGTTTGTTCGCTTACGCTTTGAAAAGTTGGGCGGGCTGCCCTTTGTCAAAGCGTAAAATAACTTTATCGATCAACAATTTAAAGTTGTGGCCAAGTGGCACACGACGAAAAAATCGTTCAGCCCATGACCAACACGTACGACCACAACTTTAAACTGCTGATCGATAAAGTCATTTTACGCTTTGACAAAGAACAGCCGGCCCAGCTGTCCGAACCGTAAGCGAATGATTAACTCATTCCGGTGAGCACAACATGATCTAAGATCTCCATATGCTGAGGGCGATTGGTTCAATTCCTGCCAGCAGGATCACAAAAATGTCGTTCATCAGGGAAATTACTTTGATCCGAATAGAGGTGTGCACACCCAGTAATTCAAAAGGACCTGGCTGGGTAGAAAGATTCCGATTTTGACGAAACGTTGCGGAGGGCCATGGTATTTACTCCAAAGGCACTTGGATGAACACTGTTGGCGTGTTTTGAAAGGGGGTGAAGACCATATCGTACCAGTCCTATGCGATATTAAAGAAATATTTGTTCTTTGATTGCTTTTATTTAATTGTGATTAATTTTTGCAATGAGGACGATATATTTTTAATTCGATTCTGATTTTTAATCACATTATAGTAAATCAACGACGGTAGGACTCACGCTATAGTGAAAGCAACATTTTTAAGAAGGAAGCTCAAATCGGGATAAAACTTACAAAGAATATTATTAAAAACAGAAATGCCGAAGGAGTGCGACACCTGACGAAATTTTAATAAAACTACAACGCAAGTACTGACCACATATGACAAATTTAAGAAAATGAAAATGAAAATTAGTTGGATATCTTCAGGACTTAATAGATGAACGTGGCGCAAATTCTCCGACGCGGCATAAACTTTCTCATTCCTGGTCATAAGTGTTATATTAGTTTTTGAGCTGAAATTCATCAGTTTCTGCGTCAACAGGTATTCAATAATACTCAAGTATTTCAAGTATTTATTAATTTGCCATACGCTCAGCGCCGGGCCATTGATATGCCTAACCCACTTCAGCTGCGTCATGCATTTGCTCATAACTACCGATCGGTTGCCTAGTTTCAGAGTTCACTTTCTGACTTTTTTTCTCAGCAATGAACTCCTTCGGGAACGACTTAAGTATGACTTGATCACAAGAGTCTTCGTTTTTTGTGTTATCGAGTTTAATGAGGAAACAAGACTTTAAGGGCAGACGGAATACAATTCGGAATAGTAATTTTACGTCTGTGGCCGCCTCTGGCGCCTAAGAGTACGCTCAATTCGGCAAGCCAAGTAAGTTTCGTTAAGCAACGCAAGATTTCTGCACTCCAGGCCGTATGGTCGCAAATTCCGGGTCAAGTGCGTATGCTGAGGCAACTACGTATGGACAACGGCGTTCTATTCCCGCTATATATCACCACCTTGGGCGAACTCAGACTACTCCAAATTCTCTTTCGTCTGTGTCTGTCCAGGAATAAGCAGGATAAAATGGCTGGAGGCGACTTCATACGCAAGCAGTTCAACGAAATCGACAGAGACGGGGATGGTTTTATCACAGAATCCGACCTGCGCGAATGCGTCAAGGGACATTCTGTGAACTCCTGTGCCATCAGGGTAAGCTCAATGAGTTGTTGTCAGTAGTTTGTTGTGGTATTTAAAGTTATTAAAAGGACATCACACAAGTCAACACAACCCCCTGACGTAATTCACCTTTACTTAGGTTGAACCACTAACAGATTTAGTATAATCAGGGGAAGGATTACTTATATGACCATCATAGATCATTTTTACTCCCCGCAATGTGTTTCTTTTTCTGTTGACGTTTCGGACAGCTGGGTTGGCTGTCCTTTGTCAAAGCGAGAACGGACTTTATCGATCAGTAATTCAAACTTGTGGCTGTGTGTGTTGGCCATAGGCTGATCGATCTTCTACGCTCGCTGCTTGGCCCTGCGCCCGGATTTTGGCGTAACTTGACGGCAATTAGGGTTGTATTCTGTCCCCCACAGTAAAGGATCCTAGTAACCCTGCTCCCTCTTCCGGTTGTTTCGTCGCGGGGCCATCTTTGTTTGGAAATCCTAGGTTCAGTTTGACCAGGTCCTGTCCCATACTAACGTAATGGCGTAGGACTTTGTAGGCCGCGGGGAGGTCCAGATGCCTATTGACAGAGTTGGCATCCGAGTACCATGCGTTAAGCGTCAGTCTTTGATACTTATATGATCCCCTAAACAGGACACAGGAAGGTGGCTGCATGCATAATTGTAAGAAAAGCAAATATTCCAATGTAGTAACTCTAACGATAGTCCTTACTTAAACCGAGACCGCAGGCATAATCTTAACCCCCAACGCTAACCTAAACCGTAACCCTCCCATTTACACTAGCCCAAACGATTAGGGGCGTTTGGCAGATTTGAATAATTCAATTGACTAAAATGTGATAAATTCGTGTCTTCGACCTTCCCTGCTGATGTGAGTTCGAATCCCACTGAGGCCACGAATTTTTCATAGTTGGGTAAATTGAATTAATAAAATTTACCAAACCTCCCTAATAATTAATTTTGCCTAGTAGTCATTCTGGTGGATTCTAGATGATTTCTTAGGAAATCCTGCCTGGGCAGTCAGCTTACTGTAGCCGTAATGGTAGATTCCATACGAACAGTAGGCTGGGTGGGTAAATTGATCCATCTTTGATTAAATTCAAGGCTTTCGGTGTGCCTTTAAAACTCTTTTGGTAGAGCATTGGCCGTACTAAAGTCTCTCCTGCTGATTTGAGTCTGAATCCCATCGAGGCTACGAATGTTTCACAGTTGGGTCAATTGAACTAACCCAAACCTTAACTCTAACCCTACCGCTGCCACCACCCGAACTGTAGCCGTAACCATGACCGTAAACTTAACCCTAACCTTGTGACCAATCCTAATTTCCATGGGATTTTGCACAAGATCACCTGTATTGCTGAAGTTTCCTGTTCTCATATCCTCTATAGGAGACCGTATAAGTAGTCCTTATCTAATCAGACATCCGTCAGTCAGCGTTTCGTCGGAAAATCTAACTGCTCCCCTATCCCGGGACGTAGGCGGATATCTACCTCTTCGGTTGATCTTCCATTCGTTTGCCTTCTGTGCTCTTACAGTAAGGCTCTGATGGAAGCTCCTGTTTACTCAATTGCTGGATAATGGCTAGGAAGTTCGTGGAATATCGCTTTCTTTCCATGGACTGCCGAGCATCTAAGTTCTTAGGTGGCAGTTTGGGGTCTGAAGCATGAATTGTCCGTCTTAACTGTGATGTCTAACAATTCTGAGGCGCTCGAGCTGGGGTATTGAACGTCTGCCTTGCTGATGTTGGAAGCCCTGAATCGCGCATATGAAAGAAGTGAATTTGGAGTGAATTTACATGCCATTAAGAGTATACTATTAAAAAATTTGATATTTGAGCACACGGTAAGGAATACTTATATGACCCCCTAAACAAGACATGGAAGTATGAAGGCCCCGCCCAAGTACTAAAGGCGGCTCTGGTCATAATTTCAGAAAGTATAAATATTATCGTACCCTAAACCTTATACTAGCCCTAAGATAAACCTAAACCATGACCCTAATTTCAGCCATAACCCTACCCTAAACCTTAAGCCAACAGTTAATAGGAGCCCAAACCGTAACCCTACACTTAATCCTAACATACCTTAATGCTAATATTAAACCAACCATGAACCTAGGTTTAATCCTAGGCATAAACCGAACCATATTTTGCAGGGAATTTCTCACAGACGCTCCCACTTTGCGGGCGGCTCCTGTCCGCATGTCCTGTTTAGTGGGTCATATAAGTCAGCCTTCCCGCAAACTTTATTCTGATATTTACTACTCAGCAAAGAATGAAAATGTAAAATAAGACATGAAAACGCACTGTAAATAGTATGTGAATTATTTTCAATTTTTTTCGACTTTCAGTGCTTCTTCAAACGTTATGATGCCAATGGTGACAAGAAAATATCCTTCACTGAATACCACAATGGCCTTCTAGCTTACCTATTTCAGAATTTGCGGTAAGTACACTGCGTTTTTATCTCAATTATTTCTAATTTTGTTAACTCTACTAGGCCTCCAATTTTCTGCTTATACTTGCTGGTTTATGGCGTTACGAACATACGACGGGATTTTTATGGTTAATATTACTGAAAATGATGCATTCTGAGGAAAATTTAAAAAACACGTTGAAATAAACTCCTGAGGTTTAAGAGTTACAAATATTCCCGTCAGAAGACACTTTGACGAGCATACGCATGCTTTTGATAAATTTTAGTCGAGCTAGTACATCTATGTGGAACACATGTGGTCAATAATGTTCGTCTTGCAGTATAGGCAGATATAATTGCCAGCAGCGATAAGAGAGACTGGAATGACCATTTCCGGCTTATTAACCGTCGTCGCCAATACTATTTGCCTATACTACCAGCTGCGACGGCTGTCAGGGACTCTGTGGAAACACTAGTACAATTCATACTCAGTTCTAGCTCGCACGTGGGCAGTCGATGCATGCATATTCTGTATTTACGTCGCAGACTTTGGTATATAAATACGATTGACTGAATGCTAGCATGCAGTTAGTTGCTTGCCGGGTCAACCTGTGTAGTTGTTGATCCACTTTTCTGAAGTTTTAGTTTATTTGGTTAGGGTAATAGGTAATGCCTTTGAAAACCCTCTTGATTACCTGCCAGGGCGTCATATGCATTTGTACACGCACGCGTAAAAATGCCACTATTAAAATATTATTGACAAACAGTTAGTAGCATTATTTTTACAAGGTAAGACATACTTATGCATTTGCAGGGATGAGGCCACCGCACGTTCCCTGTTTCACCTCCTGGACACGGACAAGTCTGGCAAGGTAAGTCTACCGGAAATGCGCAACTTTTTCGAGAGTTGCGTGGGCCAACTGCCAAAAGAGTACGTCGCCGACTTCCTCAAAAGTCTTGACGAAAATAATGATGGCGAAATCAGTGAGCAGGAATTCATCACCTTTATGCGCAAAACCTGGCAAAATCAGTGCTGCTGTTGTTCCGGCGCCCAACAACAATTCATCCCTAAAAAACTGCGCTGATGGCGTTGCTCTACGGCCAGCTTGTTGCAGAGGATATTGTGACCTTGAAAATGTTGCTCATTAAAGTT